CCCCCCCCCCCGCCCCCAGACCAAAGGAGAGAATCAGCCTCTACTTGAGGGATTCCCCCAGCTGATCAATCCACGTCTGCGGGAGGGGACACAGCCCCTGGCCTGGGGGATCGGGATCTGAGGGGAATAGACACTGCCGTTGGCCTGAGGAAGCTTTGGATCCAAGCCTCACAAGAAGTCAATTCACAAGCCTGTTCCCTCCTTTGTAAAATGGGGGTCATTCCTGCCTCCCATGGTCTTTGAGGGAATCTGGAGAGGTGGTGGCATCAGTGAAGCTGGGGGTGGACTCAGGAGTTTGAGAGCAGAGGGAGAAAAACGAAGCAGAGAGTTAGGGTGACCGCTCCCGCTCATCCCCCCAGGAGCAAAGGAAGGCCACTCTGGAAGGGCTCCCTGGAGGAGGCGAAGCCAGATCTGTCTGTGCAGCTGGGCGTGTCCGCTAGCACTGCACCCAGGGGAGGGCCACCCCTGTGAGGGAGCAGAGCTGTCCCACTTCCTGGCAGCTGGCACCCGCCCGCTGCCCAACAAGAGATTACAGCCTAATCTCCTCGGCGCTAATGATTTAGGCACTGCCAGGACACTGGCGTCTACACCGGGCCTGTCTGAATGGGGAGCTTCCGGGGGTGGCCAGGGCCTGAGGGATGGGCAGGTGAGGGCGAACCTGGCTCCCATGCGGGTGGCCCGGGCTCTCAGCCCACACACGGGGACACAGAGGGAGTCAGGTTTTCCATGCAGGCCTCAGCAACGGGGCTGAGGCAGGCTGCTAGAAGGACTTCCTGCTTAGAAAGTGGGTGGCCTCCCAGGCGGCGATGTCTCCTTGCTTGGGAAGTGGGGACAGCACAAGCTATCTGGGAGAGAAGGGATGAACCCCAGCCTAACCCTGCTCCAGCCCTGCCTGCGAAGTCCAGGGGTGCCCACGGCTGCTGGAGGAGGATGGAGAGGGGGCTCAAAATCAAGGCGGGGGAGCAAGGTCAGACCTCCAGGGTTCTCTCACAAGGTTAGACATCAGGGAGGACTTCCTGGCAATCCAGGATGGTCTCTGGGAAGGACCTGGGGTCACCTGAGTGGGCCAGAGACAGGCCCTATCCCAGCCGATCACCCTGTCACAGAATGACATGCAGTGAGACCCTCCCCATTCCTGCTGGAGCCACCCTCCCAAGAACACCCCCTCCCCCAGGAGCTAAGTGCCTTCTTCCCTCCAAGCAGCCTCGCTGGGTTGTCTGCCTTCCACACTGAATCTGGAGCATGGCCAGGGGCCCTTCAGTGCCTCTCCCTAAAGCCCACAGCCCAGCCTTCAGCCTACCTCCAAAGCTCCCAGACCCTAGTCTTGAGGTCCAGCTTCAGGGGGCAGAGAGTTTATTAACCTTCCTTCCTCCCTCCAAAATCACCAAGGCCTCATCTACCATCACCACCATTTGACCCCCCTCAAGCTCCCTCAGCCCTGACATCAGACCACATGCCAAGGTCTGGGCTTGCTTCCCCACACTGGTGATTCCCAGGCCTTCTGTCTCTGCTCTTTGGAGACTCTACTGTCTGTGGATCCCCCTAAGGCACCCCAACCCAGAAAGGATTCACATGCTGAGGGATGGGCCCAGCCAGCCCCTATCCCTGAGTGAAAGGGCAGAGTTAGACCCCAGGAAGCTTCCCCGGCCCTCTGGAATGCATGACTATCCCTGGCCTAAGAAGACCTGGACATTCCACCCACACAGCTCAGGGACAGCCCTCGCCACATCTTCCCAGCAGTGCTATGAGGAAACTGAGGCACATGGCACTTGAGTGGCCAACACGCAGGTGGGGCGGGGCAGGGGGGCCCGGCATTAGCAGCAGAGCCGGGCCTGGGGCCAGGGCCGCAGCAGCTCCCACTCTCCCTGCCAGTTGGGGAAGGAAGGTCTGACAGGAGCCAGCCGGAGGGCTGCACAGAGGTCCTCTCGGCCGTGACTCCTCCTGCCCGGGCCTGTCCTCCACCCCCGGCAGGGAGAGGCCCCTGGCAGCCGAACGGGCAGCACCAGACCCGCAGCCCCCGCAGTCGTCAGCAGCTTGGCCCACATGGAAGATGAGAAGAAAAGGAGGAAGGGATCCAGCCCCAGAGGCTTCTGGGAGTCAAGCACAGTGGGAGAGGGGACCCGTGGACCCAGGGAATGACTGGGACAACTCCCCTCGTCCCCCACTGCCTTCACGCCAGCCCTAGGCTTGACTAACCCCACAGGCCCAGGGCCTCCTCTCCAGGGGTTGCTGAAAAGCCAGCAGGCTCAAGGGAGTAGAGACAGGCCTCGCCTCGGATCTGAGTGGGACCAGTGTGTGGGGAGAGGGTCCCTGAAACCACACCCACCCCTCTGATGTTGCTGGAAGGCTCAGAATGGAGAGTAACCTGGGGGCCCGGTATACAGTTGATGTTCAATAAACACATATTAATAGGGAGTGCGGGCTGACTCAGACGAGCATGTGACTCTGATCTTTGGGTCATGAGTTCAAGCCCCATGTTGGGTGTAGAGATTCCTTAAATATATAAATAAACTTAAAAAATAATGGGTGTGTATTAATACTGATAAAGGTCACGCCACATCTGCCCGGTTTCTTGGTTCCTCTAGGCTCCCAGCATTAACTGTCACCCCCGAGGACAGTGCCTGCACTTCACCCCCACCCAGAACCCAGAGCCCAGCTAGTACACAGCAGATGCTTTCTTTTTTTTTTTTTAATTTTTTTAATGTTTATTTTTGAGAGAGATAGAGACACACAGTGCGAGTGGAGGAGGGGCAGAGAGAGAGGGAGACACAGAATCCGAAGCAGGCTCCAGGCTCCCAGCTGTCAGCACAGAGCCCGACGCGGGGCTCAAACCCACGAACTGTGAGATCGTGACCTGAGCCGAAGTCGGACGCTTAACCGACTGAGCCACCCAGGTGCCCCACACAGCAGATGCGTTCAAGTGCTTATTGAATCACTAGGGACATGGAGCCTGGGCCATGACTGGGGTGGAGACAGGGACCCAAATAGGAGACACACGATCACCTACCCTCTCCACCAAGGAAAAAGGTCCATATCAGGTGAGGTCAGGGAAGTGAGAGGTCCAGGATCCCAGGGTAGGGGGGTGATGCACCCAGCTGGGACCTTGGCTTGGCTGATGAAGAGAGGACCCCATATGCTTCAGGAATCCCAAAGACCTTCCTTCCACCTGTGACACCTGCCACTGGGGTACCTGTCTGCCCCTTTCCATATTCTACAGACACTGAGGCTTTATCACCTCTCCTCTGGGGGACCTTTGTCTGCAACGGGATAGGCAGAGCCACCAAGCAGCTCACAGGTCCCCCGCCTGGCCAGCCTGTCCTCAGAAGTGCACCTGCACCTAGCCACACCTGCCCTCAGCTGGAACCCTCCTCTTCCTCTATTGTTTCCTCAGCCTCTGTCCTGAGGCCCAAGGCCCCAGGACCACCCCCACCCAGATCCACCCACTGAGGACTTTTGTCCAGCTCCAAAGAGAGCCCCACCCTCCACTCCCAGGACTGTGGGACATGCAGAACATTCTTGGGGCTCCCGAGAGTCTCCTCCCAGTTAGGAGAGTCAGAGGTGGGTGTCCCTCAATGCCCCCTTACACACCAGGAGTCTCTGGGTGCATTCTTGTCTCCCCCGGGACAAGCAGACTCAGCCACCTCCCTCTGACTGGTTTCCAGGAACCATCAGCCTGGAATGGACCCAACACATGAGATACAGCACCCAGAACACCTCACCCTTTCAGGCAGAGCCACCTCGGCTGCCGAGGGCTCCTCCCCTAAAAGGACCCAGAGGTCCGAGTGCCCCCAGTGAGACCCAGGCAGGAAGACAGGGCAGGGGAGGGAGGGGGTGGAAATGGATGGAGAGGAAGTCTGGGAGGGAAACCCAGGCCTGAGGGAGGCATGCATGGGAACTCTTGCTGCCTTCTGCCTTCCCTCCCCCTTCCCTCCTCTTCCTCCTTCTTTCCACTCCCCCTTCCCTGGCCTGAGGGCAGCATCCCAGGTGGGTTCCTCTTTCAGGCCTGGGGCTCACACCCCCTCCCCACCTGGCCTGGCAAACTGGCTTGGGGACCCTAGAGCCTGAGGGACAGAA